CTCTAGAAGAAAGTCTGTTGCTTCAAATGCTTCCAAGTCATCAGCAAAGCCAGCTATGCCACGACGGCGCTTGGGCAACCTGTACAGAAACAACCCACGTCGAACTGCATAACCAAACTACGAGAACGGAAAGGTTCAATTACCCATTGATATTGCTGGCTCGATAAACTTTAGGTTTAGGGCATTTCTGATGACTTTGTTATCACATTAGCTACTCCCTTAGATCTACAAAAGTGTTTGAACGAACATCACGATAATATGTTTAGCATTATTAATTTTACCTCTGGGACATGGGATTAGAAGATGGGGGGATGTGGTGGAATGGAAATTTTTCATTTTTTGCTTTTATACACTTATGTGCTCTTTGAATGTTTTCTATTGGTCCCGTGTTACTCTTAACATTAAAAGAAATAAGAAGAAGAAAAGAAAAACCAAACCATGTCAGAGTTGGCAAATACAGGAACATCTTGTGTTTTGCAGGCATTTCTTGTTCAATACTTTGGGTCAGGTCAAGGACTGGCATTGCCTGTGACCATGCTTTAGGGAGACAGTTTCCTACAGGGAACAGAGCTATGGGACAACTTCAGCTCTGCCCTCGGCCTACCTCTTGATAAGCCTAAGTGCTTGCAGCAGAGTGTCCCCTCGGTTGGGGCCCCCACACACTTCAGTCAGCTCTGGGGGTGGGTACTGGTTTGTTCCACCTAAAAATAAAATATCAAACCAAATCAAATAAAGCATAAAATGATATAAAATTTTTAAATGAAATAAATGAAGTAAAATAAAGCATAAAAAAAACCAAAATATTATCCATTAACACAAAATTTAAAAGATATAAAATAAAATCAAATAAAGCATAAGAAAGTAAAACGTACAATAAAGCAAAATAAACATAACAAAAAATGAAATAAAATGAAACATAAAAACAAAAAAAATCCATTGACATAAAATCAAAAAGACATAAAATTAATTCAAGTAAAGCATAAAATAAATACAAAAATAAAAGCCAATAAAATAAAAAATAAAAATAAAAACAAAAATGCATCCTATCACATAAATAAAATTACAACATAAAAGAATATAACAAGACATAAAATGCAACCTGACAAAATAAAACATAAAAAATAAAGTAAAATGAAATTAAAACAGAATAGAAAAGTGGTCCCTTTAGCCTGCTTTTCTCTCAAATGGTTCCTAAGCCATCAGCCCTCTATTAGAAATCTCTCCTTCACCTCCTGTAACAATAAGAGATGTAAATTTCAGAGTGGTTCACTGACCTTTCTAGGATCACACAGCTCACTAGTGGCACAGCTAAGACTAGAACTGATTCATGGATCTTTGTACCTCTCAAACTGGAGAGGCACAAATGCTGTGTCAGTACTTCTAACATATCCATCAGACTCCCTTTATTCCTTCAGTGATAAAGGAGCAGATGTCTCTCAAGGCTCCCAATAGGGTGTCACACACACTTATAAACTGAAAATCTCATGTCTCCCGGCAAAGAAGGCAAGAAGTCCTCACATGTTACACCTCAAGGCTCCCAATAGGGTGTCACACACACAAACTGAAAATCTCATGTCCCCCGGCAAAGAAGGCAAGAAGTCCTCACATGTTACAACAAGGCACCCTGCATGTGAGTTGTTTGGATTATGTACTGGTGGACAAAGCCCAAAACAAACTCCTGGAAATGTGACCAGAATAATACCCATTCCCTCAATCCTAATAATCTCCATTATCATGTTAGGGATACAGTTTTGGTACTGGCTGCCCATGAATTTGGTTGAACTAGTTCCAGTTGGAAGTGAGGACACTAGGACAGGAAGTAGGGAAGAATTCCAGCCAGGATACAGTCAGTGTGCCCTTTAACCTTCACTGTTGGCTTCATCCACCATAACCTGAGGTGGGAGACCCTCCCTCACTTCCTGCCAAGTCCCTGAAGACCTCTGAAAATATATGTCATAAACACTTGTTACTCAAAATGTGGTCCACGGACTAGCAGCATCAGTATCACTTGGGAGCTTGTTAAAAATGCGCAATCTCAGGCCTCAGCTCAGCCCCACTGAATCAAAATCCACATTTTAACAAGATCCCCAGTGTGTGCATGTTAAAATTTGAGAAGCACTGTTATACGCCACTGGATTCTGGAGTCTGGGTTACAGGATATAGTAATTACAGTAACTACACCTTATATTTGTACAGCACTCGTGCTTTTCCGAGCCCCTCCATGCATATATTTGAAAGTAGGCTTTTCAAATAAGGAAGAGACTATAATTCTCATTTTGGTAAAAGAGAAAATTGAGAAGTTAAATAGAAACCTGAGGTCTACCAGCCACCAGCTGAGAGGTTCCAAACAAGAAAGCTGCACTAGGCGTGGCACAGTGTCAGGGCAATGAAATAGCTCAGGGTTTTTAGGAAATGGGGTGCTCTCTGGAAGCTCCACAGAGGCTGTGGAGCTGCACACACTTCGGCAATGGTAAAGGGTACAGCAAACAACTGCTTGCCCAAATGCCAGGCTCTGGAATTTCCTCTCCCTACCCCATCCAGGGTATCCCCAGGGTTCCAGGACCACTCACTTTTTAGGAGATTCAGGAAGGCCCGCATGAAGCCCCGGGTGTAGGCTACCTCTGGGTCTGAGATCCCCTCCAGGCGCAACAGGTGCTGCTCAGAGGGGGCACTGGCCACTTGGGCCAGCTCAGCCAGCTCATGGGTTCCCACGCCTGAGCCCAAGGCCAACACAAACAGAGTGATGCCCTTGCACTTGGCCTCCAGGGACACAGTCCTTAGCTTCTCCTGGTCCCATCTGCTGGTCTCACTGGCCACGATGGCGAAGAGAATCCGTGCCCTCCTGGGCAGTGGGGCTGCCAGGAGCACCTTCTCTAGTGTCCACTCCAGGGCGTGGCCCAGGGCAGGAGCTCCTTGCAGGGGGTGGCCTACAGCCTCATGGATGTGCCTCTGCATCTGCATCCGGTGACCAAAGGTGGTCAGGAGGAAACCCTCAAGCACAGGGGGGTGTCCAGAGCCTGGCCAGAAGCCAGGAGTTGTGTGCATCACCAGGGCCGCGCGTGCCCCGTAGAGGGACGTGTTCGGCTGTGCAGCCACCTCTATGTTGTCGAGCGTGGCATCCACTAGACTCAAGGCAGCCCGGTACACATCCTTGCTGACGCTGTGGGAGCTGTCCACCACGAATGCCACGTCCACGTCTACTGCCAGGGGTCCGGGCGTGCCCAACCTGCACTCCGGAGCTGGTCGGCACTTGTCTGGGGAGGAAGGCGGGGAGAGGCCAGGGTTACTATGCATCTCTTTCCTTTCCATGCAAACAGATTTCTAGATTCTCAATAAGGATAGCTGTTGCTGAGCGCTATTTGCATTGTGTTAACACGGCCAGCAGATGGACACTGTAAGAAAATGTGCCCCTTTATCAGAAGAAAGAATCGAGATGATCTGATTTCACATTTAATGTTTCTAACCACTAGGCCATATGGCTTCCTAATCTTTAGCTTCACTGACACCTGCCTGGTTCAGTCTGTGCCCTGCCTTTTATGGGGCGTGTGACCTTGGGCAAATTACTCAGCCTTCCCATTACCTCCGTTTCTTCATCTTTCAGATGGGGGCAATGATGATAATAATAGAACCTATTTTGTGAGGTTTAAATCTAAAAATGAGTTCATCTATGTAAAGTGCTCAGAACAATCCCTGGTGCATAGTAAAAGCTCAAACTCGGTAAATACCAACCAGATTTATGCTTCTATAGGAGAGAGAACTGAGGCCCAGAGAAACAACGCGTCAAATGAGATGATGGATGAGAAAGCAGTTCATCAACTGCAACATGCTCTATGAATGGCAGTTACTACATTTGACTTGGCCAAGTTCTCAGAACCAAATCTCTCATGGCAGTGATAGGTCTTAGTGTGGAGCAATTAAATCCCCTTTTGATTTCACCTGTAGGGCTCACTCTAGCCTTAAGTGATGTGGGAATGGATGAGAGCTCTCCATACAGGGGTATGCATGGGCTTCAGCACAAAGTTCTCTCTGGCACAGGCTAGTGTGAGGTGCGAGGTAGAGTGAAGGAGGCTGAAGACACATAATAACTTGTCAGTACCCTGCTGGTGGTCAATGGCAGTTCCAGGCCTAGAACCCAGGACTCTTGACTTGGTTCAGTGGTCTGCCCTTCACACTAAAATGCCTAAGAAAGGAACACAAGCCCAGCCATCTACAGGAACCTGGCAGGACAGGTGAATGAGCAGAGTAGATCAGCAGTAAGACAATAGGGAGGGGAAGGGACTGTAGGGTGCTAGCAGACACTTGCCCCCTCAAAAGGGGATAGGCACAACTTAGCTCTGGCTGACTATGACCACATGGGAATCCAACATCTGTGATTCTCCAGACTATTGCAACTTCCTAAGAAAAACTGATAATCCAGAATTAATAGGAAATTCCCAGATTCTAAAATACTGCACATACCAAACAAATACACATCTGCAGAGCAGATCTGGCCCGTGGCTCTTGGCTAGTCCATCCTGTTCTAAAGACATCGGTCTGGTAAGAAATGCTGTCCAGGCTTACCATAGCAGAGAGTGCAGCGGGCCATGTGCTCCACATCCTGTTGGCTCTCAGTCTCCCAGACGAATAAATGAACTCTGTTGGTTCCATCCATCTAATCCAAACATATATGCAAGTTTGTCATTAGCTGAATTAAATTTCAGACTATGTTTCTTTTTCCATTTCAGATAAGCAAAACATTAGTATGATATTTTGAGGAGAATATATAATTATAGAAATATATGTATCTATTATTTGGCATTATTTGACAGTTATTGATAGCCTTTTAGGACAAAGTCCCACTGAAGGTCAGCCGCTCCTCCTTCATTCCTGTGCCTAGGACCAAGCAGGCTCCAGACCCTCCTGTGGCAGCAAAGTGCTTAGCATTTGAAGTTGTTATGCTAGGCCTCAGGGAGATTGACAGGTAAAGGTAACTTTATTTTTTAATTTAATTTTTTTTAAAATGCCTACAGCATCTGGTCTTCCTAGGTGGTCTCCCATCCAAGTACTAACCAGGCCCAACCCTGCTTAGCTTCTGAGATCAGACGAGATCAGGCACATTCAGGATGGCATAGCTGTAGATGCAAGGGTAGCTTTAAAAAAGAACGTTCCATGACATACACTCCTTACAGAGCTCTTCACTCTTTCTGTTTAGGACTGCAGCATATCCCATCATTGTCTCTCAGAGTGAGCTTTGCTTAAAAGAAAAAGCCTTTGGGGAAAAGAAATATAAAGACTCCAACTTTTGTTTATGCTAATGTAACACCAAAACAAACAAACAAATAGATAAACCAAACAGGAACATTCCTAAGTCTCCTGAGAAGAAAGGTGAAATGCATCCTATTTTGTTCCTCACACAGCAAAAGCAATCTAAATTGTGCTTTTACCTAACTTAGAAATTCAAATTAACCAAGACTGATTATGCAACTACTACATAACAATGTTAGCAAGCCATGTGGACATACAAAATGACACAGCCACACCCTCAAATCACTGAAAACCTCAGTGGAAGGAGAGACAAACTATTCTCAAGAAAGAAGGAGGTCCAATAATATGTTTTAGGAACACAAGAAGAGGAGATTAATTTCAAGGGGAAGGGATAGAGAGAATCTGATGAAGATGATGGTATCTAGTACTTTCAAAAGAATGAGCAGGATGCTTATGTAGAAAAGAAGTAGAAAAAAAGCATTACAGCGTAGAAGAACAGCATGTACAAAGGCCCAGAGGTAGGCAGTGGTTATCTACAGAATTCTCATTGCTCTCACTCCCCAAAGATTAGAGAATACCCACCTCCAATGTGCACACAGAAACTACACAGCACATCTGAAACCCTGAAACTCCTTACCAGATGGAGGAGGATGACATGAAGAATGTGCACAGAGTTGCCAACATTCAACATTCATACAGATCTCCTCCCCATGGTTATAAGATCTGAGCATTGACCAAACCAAATGGACCTAATTAATCACCAAGGGTTAGAGAAAACAGGGTAGGCACGCATATGATACATTGATAGCTTACTGGAAAACACATGAGGCAATTTGGAAGGCCTCTGAAATCAGGATCCCCATCTGTGTTCCAGAAGTTATGAGGAAACTGGGATAACCCTGGGAGCATTAATTTTACCTCCAAGAGTTGTGGGGAAATGCTAAGCTTGTATACATTATTTTTAAATAACAGGGAAATGGGGGAAGTATGTTATAAAGGTCAGAATTTGTGTGAATGTTTAAGATACTATGAAAGACTTCAAACAAATTCAAATATTTTCCCAAGTCTATACAAAGGAATGGTTCATAGGGAAAGTTCTATGCAGCAAGAATAGATTAAGTGTCATGAACCTGGGTCCTAGTCCTTGGTGTGCCCTAGTTGGCTATGTGGTCTTGGACAAGTCTCTGGCCTCACTTTCCTCAGCAACAAAGTTTTAGGGTAGGAGTCAATGCTGCTGAGTTTTCTTTCTGTTTCAACACAGCCTGGTCCTCCATTACTGTCTTCTGTATTTGCCTCGTGTTCAGGGCGTTGTGTTACCTTTTCTACTCTGAGCAGCTAAGATTATTGTTCTGCTTGTTGGGAAATGACCAACTTCAAAGGAATTAAAGTAGCTACAGAACTTGAATCTTTTAAAAATGGTTTCTTAGGAAGAATAATTTTATGTTCCTGTAAAAAATTTTCCTTTTCCTGTAAAAACAAAATTGTGGGAACAAGTACACAAAAACAAATTGGAAGTCCATAGGGAACTATGATTCAGAATAGATTCATCTGTACCTAGTCGTTCTTAAGTGACATTTAATTACTTTGACTTTGGAATGGCCAGCGTGGGCCTAGTCACTGATCAGATCTATAATTCCGGAGAAAGCTCAAGCAGAGAGATAGTACGGGATGAAATCCTAGTGTGAGAAGAGGAAATAGGATCTGTGATTCCTACTGCAAAAGTATCAGAAAAGGAAATCTCAAAAATAGAGGCCCTTAAACACCACCCAAGTGATCTGCGTGAGGCTCAAAGCTTTATTATAGTTTGAATCAGCACCTTTGGTAATTCTTTCAACCAACTTCATTTCTGAGGGTCCAGTTGTGGTCTGTGGGGACTAGGTATATACTAAAGACAGGACTATATGGAGGCAGGAAGGATGCAGCACAGGGATTTGCATTAACACCCTCTTTTATTTAATAGAAAGACATTTTATGAAAGAATACAGACAACCCTTAAACCTCAGCCCTCACTATTAAAGAACTCCCCATGAGCCCTGAGCTGAAGAGACCCACATGGTTAAATTCGATGCTTCAGCTGCTGTATTAAACTGCCAGAGGCCATGGGATGATATTCATTCCCGGGATTGAGCTGGGGGAGGCTCTTGGCTTAGACAGATAGATGAAGAGGGGAAAGAAGCAAATGCTGGGGAGGATGATTTGCCTTGGGACACAGGAAGAGCTAACTGGACCCTAACAAGGGAGAGTTAGAAACAATCTTGCATCCAGTTGAGGTAATGGCTTGGAGAACAAGAAGAGAAAATTGAAAAAACTAGGGGAAGGAGATAGGAGAGTAGTCACATAACCAGTGACTGATCCCAGGAGCTGGAGTTCAATTTCAGCTCCTGCCAGCAGGCACGGTGCCACCAAGGCTGCTGTGAAGCAGTTGACTTTCTGGACTCCCCAGCAAATAGGGGCCAACATTGGATTGAGGGTGTTGGGTGGCAGAGTGAGACTCGAGAACCAAACATATGTGGATGCCAATTCCAGGACTATGTAGTTTAAAAGAAGTCACTAACCCCTGACCCTCCCTTTATCTCCTCTGGGAAATGTAGATTGTCATTATTAACTTGTAGGATAGTCACGAGGATCATACCAACACTTCAAACTTTAACACTCATGCAAACCACCTGGGAGTCTTGTTGGAAATGAGGAGCTTGATTGATTAGCCTGGGGGTGGAGCTTGAGATTTGGCATTTCTTACAAACCTGGGTGACGCTGATGTGGCTGGTCCCAGGACCACGTTTTGAGTAATGAGGGGTTAAAATGAAAAAGCATGGAAAGCATGTAGCATGGCAATTGGAACTCCATAGAGTTTCATTAAATGGAAGCTATCCATTTAACAGTTATGGGGCAAAGGTGCACTCTTAGGGGCCTCGAGAAGATGGTAATAATGGCCTATATTGAGTATGCACACAGAAAGTCCCTGTAGGCACTATCTCATAATAATTCTCACAGCAAACCTGTGAGTTTATTCCTTGTTTATTGGTGAATAAATTGAGGTCCTAGTGCCAATAGACAGGTCCAGACAGCACAAGGGACAAAACCAGAGTTTGAAGCCTCATTGCCTAATTTCTTCCTTGGTTGTTGATTCTGGTTTTAGGAAAGTAATGATCTAACAGAAAATAGCAGCCCACAAGGCCTCAGCAGGGGTACATCCATGGCTTCTAAAAAGGCCTGTCTGGCAACCCAACATTTTCTTCAAAAAAAAAAAAAAAGAATGTTCTCCTGCAACTTTTTTGAATTCTAAAATTATATCAAAATTTTAAAAATATTCCTCAAATCCCTTTGGCCTTCCTCTGAACGTTTTCATCTTCTAAATCTGATTTTTTTGTTTTTATGTCTCTGTGATAGAAATCCAAATAGATTCTTTAGATTTTTTTAAAAAGAGCAATACACAGAAATAGATATAGAGGCAGTTCATAGACCTAGCTCATAGTATTGTTGTAAAGATAAAACGAAATAATGCATGAAAAAGAACTTTGAACTTCTAAACTCTCTTCTTTTCCTGTTTTTGACTTTGGATTTAAAATCCCACTGCTAATGAGAATTCCAAACCTTGAGCAAATTATTTAACTTCTCTGTGTCTCAGTTTCATCATTTGAAAAGTGAACCAACGATAACAGTTACCTCATTGGGTTGTTGTAAGAATTAAATGAATCAGTAAGTAGGAAGAT